CCCATCTAGACAGGCTCATTGGCTGGGGCTGGAGAACCCATAGGATTTCTTGTATTCTGGCCTCACTCCTATCCAGTAGAATACCCCCCCTTTCTTTATTCTGAGGCAGCATTTGCAGTCCTGGGAAGCAACCTGTGTTAAATTTCCCTGATAGCTCTAGCGGTGTGGGATACGTAGATCACAACTTGACGTCTCCCTCCCAAGGCCATGAGATAGTAAAGCCATGTTTATCATATCATCATACAGCCATAGGTAAGATTTGGAAATACAGTTATTTGTGAAAACTTGTGTCAGTGTTTGATATCACTATTCTGTAGTTGAAATCTTTCATGCTAACAGAGTACTATTTATATAAAAATACATTTTATTTAATCAAAAGTATTACTGTCTGTCTTGAATATTTACAAGATTTTAATGCTATAAGATAATTGTGTTTGATACTTTCCAGTAAGAAATATTTTAATACATGCATTTATGTATTATTTGAGAGCAGAAAATTCTGATTTTTATTTCTGATTTTAAAATTATGATTGTTAACTTTCAGGTGAATATAAGAAAGATGAAGTCTTGGAAAGTGCCAGGTTAGTAATAACAAGAGTAATAAGCTTTTATCACTATAGGTATTCCCCTTTTCCTTTTTAAGTTCTCTGTCTAAAGAAAGGCAAGGCAAGCAAGTTGCCTTTGAGAGATCATCTTTTGCATATGAGAAGTTATTCTAGCATGTGCAGTTCAGCGTTAGACAGTTCTTATTAGAAAGAAAGTTCTTAGCAGAAAGCTCTTACCTTAACCTCAGACTTGTGGGTTAAATTTTGTATTTTGTTGTTGTTAGTCGCGAAGTCGTGTTCAACCCATCGCGACCCCATGGACAACATTCCTCTAGGCCATTGGCAAAACGTTGGAAAGCCTAAGCATGGTTTACATTCAAGATTTCATGACACTTTTTTTGGCAATCCTGTGTTTGTTCATAAGAACATCTACTGGAGACACTCCTAGGAAAGTGTATTTCATGATGTAGCCTTTAGGAGTATCCTGCAGTGTCATTCTGCAAACTTGGGAGTGCTAACAGAACTCTGCAGGAACATTCTGTTGTGGAAATACGGCAACCACGCCTGTGCACACATAACATTATTATTTACTTAGATTTTCCTTTGTCATGCACTTTGGAACCTAGTTCCTGTTAACTCAAAATCATTTGTGGCAGTGAAATTGCTCCCTTTGATATATTCCTTAGAACTATAAAGTATCACCAGATCTCATGGCAGTTGATGAATTAGCATAATTCTTTTCCCAGGTTTTCTTTGACTTTTAATTACTTGTAATTACTTAAATGCTACTTTATCTTAATGTTCCTTTTGTTACTTTTTTATTGAAATTGTTTAAATAGCCTATTTAAACTGTGATTTTAATATTTATTCATAAACTGCTTGTAGATTGCATTAAGCAATATAGCTCTCAAATATATAAATACACTAATTTCCAATCTAAAGTATTTTTAAATGAGTGAACTTTTATGTGGCTGATTGTAAGGCTTTTGCAATATTTAGTAAACCAACTAAAATTATTATTGAAAGATATTCATAGTATTAATTGCCTTTTAGAACTGGAAATGAAGAAAATTTAATGGCTCTTCTTACACCACTAAATGTCAACTGTCATGCAAGTGATGGCAGAAAGGTATTGTCTAAAATGTCATATTTATACAATACTGTTGAGAATAATAATAGTATTAAAATACTCAAATATCAACCTTTTATTTATTTATTAGATGTCTGTCCCACCTTTTTTTCTTTTAAAGAACTCAAAGCAGCTTACATCTTTCTCCATTTGTTCTTAATCTTATCCCCACAACAGCCCTGTGAGGTAGGATGGACTAGGAGACTGTGACTGACCCAAAGTCATCCAGCTGGCTCATTGGCTCCATGGCCAACAGGAACCCAG